TCTGAATAAAATCACAACGGATTGCAATGATATTGTTTTATTATAAAAATTGCCACAAACATGTTTCAGCAGTGCAACTGCCATCTTCGGTGTAATGCACTCAGAGGTATATAGAGTCCAGTAGCAGAGGGGAGGAAATCATCACCCGTCGAGGGACAAATTTTCATCCAACTTTTTTAGACCAGGATTTTGCGTAGATTCCGAATCGGAAGGGTGATCAGCCAGGTTGGGGGCGTTTTCGAGATAGGCCTATCAAGAATCAAAGGTCAGAATTGACCAATTATAAAATTACTATAATAAACGAACATTTTACTTAAAATCTGTTGTTTTTGCACTTTGTTATACTTTCATATAATATAATTGTATTAAAATAAGAAAATCAGTATGATCTAATCAGACGATATTGGGGTCAAAGGTCAGAATATACTATTTGATTGACCATTATGACAATTTACTGTTAATAATCAATCATTATAATCTACAATTCAGTGTCACATTTTTATTTTGCACTTTTTAGTAAACTGATCAGCATAAAAATATAAAATCAGATAATTTGATCAGCCGATTTCAGGGTCAAAGTTCAAAATTCGCCAACAATAATTGTCCATTTATAATAATTATACTTTGACCATTTGTTTAACAATAGCTGTTAATAAATAATCATAATAAATTCAGTGTTATATCTCTTTGTTGCCCGTTTAAGTACCTGATCACCATAAATATCAAATCAGATAATTGGTCAGCCGATATCAGGGCCAAAGTTCAAAATTGACCAACAATAACTGTCCATTTATAATAATTTAGTACAAAATAACTCATAGGCCTATGTGCTTTTAAATCACAAATCAAAAGTCAGCCAGGTTGTAGCATTTCTTACTTGTCTGGTGTGTGTCAAAGGTGTTAGAATACACATAAATCTTACACAGTTCTCAAGTGCCAGACACGGATAACTATTATCATCATTGTCAATTACATTGTCATCATCATCCTGATGATAACATACCGGTAATAATTATCGAAATATTGAATCCCGACACGATGGCGTGCATTTCGATACTTGGAGTACGGTATGTATTATACTACCGTACCTTATCATTAAAGTGGTTTCATAAAATATTAACTCTGGCCTTATGCAATTGGATCGCAATTTGGTTGTAAAAATAATACGGTACCGTAGCCTACGCAGGCTTTGAAATGTTTATTATCTTCCTTTAACTCATATTTTCCCTTTCCAAAAAAAAAATAATGAAACAATCATTTCCTCAGAAACGGGTACGATAAGGCCCGAAGAACCTTACGGTAGTCAGGGGTATTTAATCAATCAATAAATCAATCAATTTAATTTCACATCTTCTCTTTTTCATTAAAAATAACACAATAATTTTAAAAAAAAAGTTACATATTGGTGGTAAAGGAAAAACCACAAGCAAAGATTTCAACTCAATTGATCAACATTTGCATTGAAACACAGAAACATGCAAAAAAAGCATTTACTATTTTGGTCAATTTAATTTTAAAGAAAATTTTATGAAAAGATTATAACTTTCGAATTAAGGTCAGTTTCTTCAATTATTTTAAACGAAACACAATAACAAATCACAGAGATTATATGATATAAAAACATAAACTTCGAGCCTATATAAATGCATAGCAACAATTAGATTTTCCAAAAATTGGGACACAAATATCTTAATACAATAAGAAAGACATACCAATATAAATATTTAAAAAAAAAATTATATTTCCGTTTGAAAGTACCAATTTTACACTGGCGAATCGATCCCTAAATGCATTATAAAAAAAAACAAAGTTTAGCTTAACAATATTCAATTGATGTGTTGAATTTCGTGAAATTGACACAAAATCTTAGCTAATCCTTGATTTTATTCATGCTTGTTATGATGATTATCTGAAAAGAAGGTACTATATTTTAGCTTTTATACTTGGTTATTATGGTAAGTTATTAAAATTGGTCAATTTTTACCTTTGACCCTGATATGGGAATAACTTTACAGAATTTGATTTCCTACTTTAATGACGAATAGTTACCTGAAAGCATAAACTATGATATAGGCCCTAACACTAAAATTATTTTGACCTTTGCCTTGATTTCTGCTGATCAAATTAATTAACTAATTAATTAAGTTATTTATTTGCATATTTTATAACAAATACATAGATATCTAAAGGCATAATCAAGTAATAAAACACTGAATCTTTAGTTTCCTAATTGTTTATTGTAATGAATTGTTATAATTGGTCGAAATTTTACATTTGACCTTTCTCCTTAATATCGGTTGCTCAAATCATATTGAATTTATTAAAATTATATATCTTATAAGTATATAAAGTGATAAAACCCTAGATTTGATATTAACATTTAAAACTTAAGAAAGCAGAAACAAAAATTCCTTCATTATTGGTTATTGATTATTGTAAGCTTTTTCCATTGATCAATTTTGGACTTTGACCTTATTTTCGTGGACGAAATTGTTTTATTTGGGTTTTTTACGATGATTGTGTACAAAAATCACAAAAAGTTATATACACAATGATTGTAGCTTCTTGGTTTGTTATTGTTAAGTTGCTATATTTATCCAGATAATTGGTCAAATTTGACCTTTGTCACAAAATTACCAGATAAAATTATTTGATTTACTTACTTAATGACAATTGGATATCTAAGAGTAACCAAAGTGATCAAACATAATGTTTTAGGCTTCATAATTGGTTATTCACGTAAATTGGTATAATTTTTCAATTTTGACATTTGACCGCTTATATCGCCCACGAACCTGGCTGATCACCCTCCATTTTCGGAATCTACACAAAAAATTGGTCTAGAAAATTTGTCCTTCGTCGAGTGGTAATATCCCCCACCCCCGTTTCCTACTGGACTGAGTGAACAAATGCAATAAGATTTTATGGTAATTAGGCGAACTGAGGCGCATGAAAAAAGATGAAAAAAATATATAAGACAAAATGGGAGGCGGATTCATGTTTAAGGAATTGAAGCATTCCGGAGAAGAAATATGTATATATAATATATTTATTCAACTTGAACAACTATTTATTTCTCAAAAACATTTTGATTTTTTCTAGTACTTAGCTTCTCCACAATTTCACTATTGGATAAGGATAAGAATAAAAATAATAATGATACATACATACATACATGCTGTGTATTCATGTAGCGCAGACACATCAAGATCGTAGCGCTGATGAAAAAAATAAATATATAACAAGTAAGTCCGAGGAAACATGAGGCATACAGGAACGTTTTCAATTGTTTGTTAAAAGTTTCTAAAGAGTCACATATTCGGATATTAATTGGCTAAATGCGCTAAAGGTATCTAAGCCAAGAACAATACTATATAAATAGGAATACACAGTAAAATGTATGATAATGCCAGTTGGCTAACAAAACGGAATCTATTTAAAACTAAGAATAAATACTGAACTAACGTTTATTAAAGAGTGCTGTGATACATTACTAACACAAGCATGGACAAAATTATATAATCATGAATGATCATTGTGAAACTATAAGGGTCTCTTTTGTGAACGTACGAAAGCCGTATCAATAATAAAATTTGTTCGGAAATAAATAGAGAGCATAGTGACAGTGTTCATTAAATGATTGGTCGCTTTTATAGTGCGATCACCGATACCTTAGTATATAAGGTCCTTTCCCACCTGTTTTCTATTCGTCTTAAGTTAGAGTCTGAACGGACTTGCAGTGGGCAACTATATAATTGTTTTTTAGTTATTTTTAGAGTTTATCAAGTCTTTTGTTATTGGGCGGAGATTATCGGGATGAATACGATTAGCTCATTCGATTTTGAGAACGGCGAGCCGGGAATTGCCAATGAGCAGCCATTGTTCGGTTCTCCGCAAATTCCGGTGTCTGTTCGTAACCAGCTTTGTGGCCGAAATTCGGTTGCCTGCTGTAAGGGCAATATTTTGACAGAGAAGGATAAACGAATACAGCTTGTTAAAATGTTCTTGTTATCTCTAATTCCGATTCTTTCACTTACATTGCTAGCTGCTGTGGATATCGGCAACATTGTTAATAATAGCAGTATTGATGGGGAAGTGCGTAACGCAATCATATTCAGCCGTGACATTGGGGTGCTACTGAGTCGGCTGCAGAAAGAACGGGATATGTCGGCACTGTTCGCTAGCCCTATCCGGCCCGAAGACAACGACTTTCTGACAGAAACGTACCCGCTTACTGATACAGCTCTTGAAAATCTTGAAAAGTGGCCCATTAAGACAAGCGTACTCGAAGCTTTGCCGTTTTTCAACGAGAAACAAGATCTGAAGCAGCACCTTGCGTGGCATCGAGAGACTCTGTCATCCACCAACACCACGATTTACGAGGAAATCTATTTCTATACGGAACTCCTACAGATCTTTATAGACTGGCTATACGAGAGCGTTGGAAACTCAAAAGGACATGGCATGTGGACCACTCTTGTTGCTTATCAGCTGCTCGTAGTCAGCAATGTTGATACTGGCATCGAGCGAACACTTGGCACTGTTTTTTTTGCTCAGGGCATTTTCGATAAACGCAGTGACTACGTGTGGTATCTTGATAAATACAACGTTGGAATATGGTATTTCCAAGCATCAATGGGTTACTCAGAACGCATTGCTCACCTCTACAAAGCTGAAATTGAAATATTAGATCAGAATATAACACAAACAGTCGACGAGTTACGAAATATTATTTTGAAAAATAATAACAATAAGACTGGAAAAACGAGTGGAATTTCTGTAACACGTTGGTTTGATATAATGACAATTTATATCAACATACGGGAAAAGGTGCAAAAAAACATGGCTCAGGACATTCTTGATCGATTGAACCACGAAATAGACAAAGATACTGAGTCGATGGCTGTAAGCGTCTCTCTAGTAGTTGCAGTTACTATTCTTTGTCCTTTGACGCTTAGAGCTATTTCAAAGATGACAACAGATATTCAGACCTATGCATTAACTTTGGCAGCCCAGACCAAGAAATTGAACGAAGAAAAAGAGCGTTCCAATTGGTTACTGTACTCCATGCTTCCAAAATCTGTTGCTGAGCAGTTGATGTACAGGAAGGATGTGAAAGCAGAGTACTTTGACTTGGTCACAGTTCTTTTTTCAGATTTAGTGGGGTTCAACAAGTTATGTTCAATAAGTGCACCATTACAAGTGAGTCGGCTTGTTGAATTTACCGTAAATAGTATGTGCAGATTTAGAACGTGGATGATGAGCGCATGGATGTAGAACTAATCGCACATTTTACTATCATTGTGGATAATGGCAAACCATCAATGTGATTATCTATAAAATATCTCAATTCCTTTTTGTTATCCAGGTTGTTGAGATGTTGAATGGGCTGTACATGATGATAGACACCAGAATCGAAAGATATGACGTATGCAAAGTGGAAACAATAAATGAAACATACATGCTGGCATCAGGTGAGAACACCTTTATTATGAAATGTGAATTAATTATATATTTCTACATTAAACAAACACTGGTCTATCCTCACTTGTATACCTGTCTCTTATACACATCTAGATGTGTATAAGAGACAAGAATACGATTAGCTCATTCGATTTTGAGAACGGCGAGCCGGGAATTGTCAATGAGCAGCCATTGTTCGGTTCTCCGCAAATTCCGGTGTCTATTAGTAACCAGCTTTGTGGCCGAAATTCGGTTGCCTGCTGTAAGGGCAATATTTTGACAGAGAAGGATAAACGAATACAGCTTGTTAAAATGTTCTTGTTATCTCTAATTCCGATTCTTTCACTTACATTGCTAGCTGCTGTGGATATCGGCAACATTGTTAACAATAGCAGTATTGCTGGGGAAGTGCGTAACGCAATCAT